CTTTTCAAATTAAATCGTTTCTGTCATTGTGGGGTTACAATTATGCTGTATTCATCATTCTTGTACACATATCTGGGCACGTGTTCACTTTGGGGGGGCAGAGTCCAGAGAAGCAATGGCTCTCCCGCAGTGTTTACATGCTTTCTGTAGGATTCCATGACTCTCCTTTTGCTGACTTACTACACACCGCCCTTCCCTTGTTATTTCAGAGGCTGCTTTGGGCTCTGTGGCACACACCTGTCCCCACAGTCGGCCTTCCCGGGGTAGAGCACCTCTTCCCATTCCCCCCCGCCTGCCCTTAGGCTGCCCTTGACAAATGCCGTAAACCCTGCAATCCCCCTTATGACTGTTGTTTCATCTGTCCCACCTTTTTAAAGAGAGGTAAGTAACAAGAAAGACGTCTTACATCTTATATATTCTCCCATGCAGGTGCCATTTCTGTCCTGTACACTCAGATTTCCACCTGGTACCAGTGTCCTTCCTGGGGGACTCCTTTCACATTGCTTGTAGTGTGGGGTCTGCTGGTGATGAAGCCTTTCGGCATTTTCGTGTCTGTCAATGTCATCATTCACCTTCATTTCAGAAAGACTGGGGGAGGCAGGAGGCACAGAATTCCACTTTGCCCCCCCCCCCAGTCTGCTCCACCATCTTCTCACTTGCACTGTTTCTGATGGGAAACCTGACAGAATCTTTATTTTTGTTTTCTGCATGTACCATGTCTCTCCCCTCTGGCAGCTTTGGAGATTTCTGCTCTTTCAATAGATTTGAGCAATTTAAGTACGTGATTAGATGTGGTTTTCTTTATGTTTCTTGTGCTCGTTCATTTGGCTCCTTGGATTGGTGGGTTTATAATTTTTATCATGATCGGAAAATTTTCTGTCACTGCTTCTTCAAAAACTGTCTCTTCTCCCCCAGTCTTTTCAGGGACTCCAGTTACTCAGATATTAAGCCTTTGAAAGTTGCCCTATCACTCACTGATGTCAGTGTGTCTATGTCATTTATTTAAATCTTTGATGGTATGAATGATGATTATGCTGTTAAAAATGATGAAATGCTTTTTTTCCCTATAAAATGGAGTAATTTATGCCCCTGCTTGAGAATATTTTCTAATTTTAGGTGTAAAAGCATCTCTTAGCAACATGTTCTGGGCACTTTTCATGCACACTGACCATCCACCAGTGAGACAGACTATGCTGGGCCCAGACTTGAGTCGCAGTCGGGTTTCATCATTTACTGACTAAGACCTTGGTCAAGTTTTGTCCTTGAGCCTCATCTTTCTCATCTGTAAAATGGGGATTATACCTTCTTGACTCAGGGATTGTTACAGTTAAAAGTGAAGTAAGGTCCCCAGAAATGCACATAACCGGTGTCCTGAAACATGTGTTCCGCCTGCCATTGTTATTCCACTAGGTTTGAGAGCATGATGAAGAAATCAAAAGGCGGCCTCCCTCTCCCCGTATGCCTCTCCCAGTCTAGGAGGGGAGCAAAAGGCTCACCCAGTAAACACCTGTATGAACTGTTTCTAAGACAAATCATCAAATGGGACCAATAATCCCTCCAATCCTACTATGTAGTATGATTTTTTTTTCTTTTAATTGCAACAGAAGGTACTAATGTTACAATCCCTGGCTGGATCCTTCCCTCTAAGAGATTCACAAGTGCTCCCTGAGCAGAATGAACTGGGCCCTTTTCAGGATCCTGCCCAGTCGTAAAAGGATTCTTACTTAAAACTACTTTTATAGTTGTTCAATTCTAGTAGAATATAATAATTAATTGAAAGCCTGTTAGGTTCTATAATCTCCAAAATAGTATGTATTGCTTCTTACTCGATCCCATAACAGTTTTTAATCACTATTTTCCAACTCTCACATTGTTCTGAAACTATTTATGGGTTCTTCCCCCAACTGAGCAAGGAACTGCCTGAGGACCAGGACAGGACTTGACATGATGGCCCTAATCCTGGCACATGACCGATCTCACTGGTTGGTTGGATGAAAAAATAAATTGCAAGAAGATGCAGTTAGAATTGAACAACCTGTCCCAGGGTCAGGAGCTGTGAGCTACAGTGCCAGCTCCACCTTGGCTCTCAGTGTGACTCAGGGGACAGACTGGTTTCATCATGTCTCTGTTTTCCTGAGTGTCGAACAGGAATGAGAATCATTGCCCAGGGGAAACTCAAGATGATCACATGAGATAATGTTGTAAGTGAACTCATGAAATGTAACAAGGCGATGTTATTCGTGAGATATGTAAAGATGAGGAAAGGAATGGAAGTCAGCCCAGCAGTTTCCATGGACTGGAACCAGCACGAGTGCTCACTGGGAACCGGCACCTGCACTGCAGTCACCACTGTGTCACTAACCGCCTTCAGAGTGCTGAGCAAGTCCGTTTTTCAGGACTCGGTTGTGTTACTATAAGTTCTAGGTTGGGAATAGGTTGTCTCCGAGGAGCCATCTGGCTCTAAGGATGTGACATTCTTGAGACTCAAGACAGTGGGACTCTGGTTGAATTGACCGACGTGCATTGGCCCGGGGATGCTTTATATCAGGGCAAATCCACATTTCATTTGACTTCATCTCTGACCAGCACATGGGCAAAGCATGGTCCTAAGGCCCCCCTGGCTTCCATTTTGCAGAATGTTGACAAACAACAAATAGTTCCTGAACGCTGACTCTGCCTCCTGCACCTGGGACAGAAACTCCACCATGCTCCACTCACACTGACCTCCTTCCTGAGCATCTCCTCTGTTTACCCAGGGCACCGAAGAGGGGAGAGGGACCGTCCCCAGTCCCGGTTCATACTCGTCTCTTCCACAGGCACCACTGCCAGGCCACCTCTGGTGGCAGAGCCGCTCTCAGCCCTGAGCACTCGTTCACCAGGGGCTTTTTCCTGAGGCTCTTTTGTCTCACCAGAGTCCAATGGCAATTTCTTCTCCGCCCTAAAGCTGAACAAGGCTGTGGATGTGGCCTGGCTCCTCCCTTTACATCAGTCCTCTTCAGGGCTCTAAACCACCCTGGAGAGAACAGGTTAGCACCTGCTACAGCACCGTGCCATGGCCCAAGCTACAATGTCTCAGGACATCTGATCCCTGCCCTCAAGGAGATCACCTCTCTGGGTTGACACGGGTATTAAAAAAATTCTAATAGAGTGTGGTGCGTCCTACAGTTGATATGATTACATTGAGCACATGAGCCCGCCTCAGGGTCGTACACAAGGCTCTTTTTCGGATGTGATTCATAAACCGGACCAGAAGGTGAGTAAGTATTTCTCTACCCACTTCATCCTGACCTTTAATGTACCATGACAACGGAGGGAAGCATTGTAAGATTAGACAAAGGTTGGAGAGATAAAGAGAGGGCAGCAGGTATAGCTGAGAGGCCATGAGCTGGTCCCTAGACCTGCACACACTAGCGATGGGTTTGGAGGCGCAGCTACACGCCTTGCATTGACCGTCTGTTACTTTGGGAGATCAGGACTGTGGGCTCAGTAGGAGCTGTTTACTATTTCAAATGACACTTTTGAACCTGGCCCCACTTTGCAGAGATTGCCTGGTCTCCAGGACTAGCTTGAGCTCCTCGTACCTGGAACACCCATCACCACGTGGGTTTCCCTAGACACCCAGCCCCCAGCATTTAGCAAACCATTGTGAGCGTCAGCTCAGAAGACAGGGTGGCTCTCTCATCTCCACAGGGACACCCACACAGGCTAAACACACACAGATACACAGGCACAGGACACAGCCCAGGAGCCCAGGACACAGGACAAGAGATCCAGTCCTTTGGGCACTGCTGTGTGTCCCGTTCACAGGGACAAGTGCCCACATCTCCCCAATGCCCTACAAAGAATGCTTATTTCAGTGGTGCCACCTCCCCCATGCCCTCGGGGTCATTGAGAATCCACAATTATATTCAAGAAGGGGCAGTTTTGACACCACAAGAAGCCAAAGAAAAGCAGGAAATAGGCCATATTGGTGAAGGAGACACTTTATTTTTCTTGAGGTTTCGGGTGGCCTCGGCCTGGACGGGCTCACTGCCTTCCCCCAGAGCAGGGTGGCGCTCCGTGGCTCTGCTCGTGGTAGTCGTTGGCAATGCCGCCCATCACGGACAGAAACTCGGAGAACTGGATCTTCTTATCTGCATTCTTGTCCGAGTCCTCAAAGATAGAGGACAAGTAATTTTTGCCCTTTACTTCCTGTGGGAAAGACACAGAAAAAGACAAATTCAGTCTCAAAAGTGTTGTGGGTGGAACAGGAGGAGGGGGCCGAGGGGGAGAGAAGCCCCTGGGGCCCCACAGGAGCAGCCAGGGTGGGTCAGTGCAGGGGCCGTGGGGTGGTGGGGACGTTTGCATTACCCTGCACTTCACTGAGGGACAGTCCTTGGCCCGGTTGTTGGCATGAATGAGAGACCTGGCGAGCAGGCTCTGCCCGGAGCCCCACTGATCAAGGAGCCGGTGGGGTAGGGGGTCTCTAGACCCAGATGCGCTCCCTCCACCCACTTCAGGACCCAACCTGCCTAAGTTCTACCCAGAAACTCAAAATGGGCCCACCCCTTGTCCTCTCCATTCCTAACCCTCCTCTCCTACCTTCTATTGGCTTCCCGAATCTTCCATGCTCAGTGCCCTCTATTGCTCACCTACTCTCTGGGTCACCTAGTAACCTCTCCTTTAGTAACCAGTTCAGTACATTCTAATTGTCAGATTGAATCAGGTCTACAAGTGAGCTTTTTCATTCTAAAGGAAGGTGTTAAATTTTATCAGCAATGGAATTTCTATCACCTCAGAGAATCTAATAGGCTTCTAGAGGCAGGGCCTGAGCATATGGGCTTCAGTCTCCTGGATGAGGTGTGACAAGTGGGAGGGGACCCATCCTTTACTCTCCTGAGGGACCACCTAAGAACTACCCTTGATCTCCATACATCTTTACGCTTTGCCACACAGATCATCTCTTACATCCTGATAATAACCCAGGATATAAAGTCCTCCTAGGCCTTTTTCAGATGAGGGTATTGAGGATGAGGGAATGGCAGTGACTTGTCCAAGGTCCCACAGCACAGTGTCCTCCTCCATCCCAAGGCCCAAGCAACCTTGAGAAGCCACCACAACTCACACAGGCCTTGAGGAAGTTGGGGAAATTCTCCTTCAGCATCTTCAGCAGGCCTGGCTTGTCAATCTTGTCATCGGGTTTGGTGTATTTGTGGAACAGGACGACCATGTCCATCAAGGACTTCTCAGCTGGAGTGGGGCTCATCTTGGTTTTCAAAGAAGCTGTCAGAGGGAAAGACAGTGACCTTTGTCATCCCTCCACCCAGGTGAGGGTCTCTAAGTCAGGACAATGGGGTGGGAACTGAGGAGGCAGTGAAGTGAGGCTCAGGTGGAGCAGAAGGAACTCTTTCACCCTAGGAGGTGGGATGAGATGGTCACAAGGAGGAGGGTGTGACCAAGGCTGGGACCTGGGCCCATGCAGGTCATGGTCCAGAGGAGATGAAGGGGAACATAGAAGCCCGCTGTGGACAGGACCGCAGGAGGCAGAAGCAGAGGGGGTAGNTTCTTAGGCCTTTTTGCAGATGAGGATATTGAGGATGAGGGAATGGCAGTGACTTGTCCAAGGTCCCACAGCACAGTGTCCTCCTCCATCCCAANCTCCTAGGCCTTTTTCAGATGAGGGTATTGAGGATGAGGGAATGGCAGTGACTTGTCCAAGGTCCCACAGCACAGTGTCCTCCTCCATCCCAAGGCCCAAGCAACCTTGAGAAGCCACCACAACTCACACAGGCCTTGAGGAAGTTGGGGAAATTCTCCTTCAGCATCTTCAGCAGGCCTGGCTTGTCAATCTTGTCATCGGGTTTGGTGTATTTGTGGAACAGGACGACCATGTCCATCAAGGACTTCTCAGCTGGAGTGGGGCTCATCTTGGTTTTCAAAGAAGCTGTCAGAGGGAAAGACAGTGACCTTTGTCATCCCTCCACCCAGGTGAGGGTCTCTAAGTCAGGACAATGGGGTGGGAACTGAGGAGGCAGTGAAGTGAGGCTCAGGTGGAGCAGAAGGAACTCTTTCACCCTAGGAGGTGGGATGAGATGGTCACAAGGAGGAGGGTGTGACCAAGGCTGGGACCTGGGCCCATGCAGGTCATGGTCCAGAGGAGATGAAGGGGAACATAGAAGCCCGCTGTGGACAGGACCGCAGGAGGCAGAAGCAGAGGGGGTAGGGGTCAACCACAGGGAAATGACTGAAGTCTTAGTTGGGACCTGAGCCAAACACAGCATTTGAATAGCTCCACTCTTCAAAGAGCATCAAAACCATCTACTCCAGTACTTCCCTGCTTTCTGGAACCCCAAGGCTAGACCACATTTAAGTAAAGAGGTCTGACTTCCCAGAGCTGGTACCTCCACCAACAGTCTGAACACCAAGCAGAGAAATAGGACAGTGCAGCCCTCACATCCCAGAGTTTCCAAGCTCCCAAGAAATGTGCATGGCCCACACATGTGGGCATCTAACAAATTACCATTGCCTCCTGATCTGGGAGAAAGATCTTAGCAGTTATCTTGCTAAGNTCACATCTATTGGCAATTAACACAAAATACCACTGCCTCCTGATCTGGGAGAAAGATCCTTGCTATTATGTCGCTAAGTGAAACCACCCAAGACCTTCTTTCAACTTAACCAAGGCTGACCTGAGACCTGTGCACAGAAGGTCACTAGTCATCCTCTAAGCTGGGAAGGAGGTCTGAAACCTTTGGTTGACAGGTCCCTGATCCAGGTAGTGGCAGGTCTTCTCACCAGGGCAAGGTGAGTGGGCATTCCAGGCCTGTGTTTAGAAGAACCTTCAAGATGGTAGGGCCACCCACTCCCCCTCGAGATTGGGATGCACAGTGGGTCAACAACCCATGGCTAGACAGTCAGGTGAGTCCAGAGGGAAAAGAAGACAAGAAGGATGGGGAGTGTGGTGTGCTCAGTTCCCACCAAGAATGTTCCCACAGAGTTGTCGCCGAGAAGTCAACAGAGCAATGGGAGCATCGGTACAGTCATCTTGTTGTAGATGAGGATCTTGGGACCCCAGTGGGATGAAGCCACACAGCCCCATTACAGGCAGAGCCTGATTACATCTGGACCCAGGATCCCAAATCCTCTCCCATCACTGCTTTCCCCACTCTGCAGACGGCAGAACACACTGAACACTGAGCAGTCCCCCTGGCAAAGAGTCAGGAACAGACTTACCTGAGCTGAGATGTCACTGAAGAGAAGAAAGAGGGTGCTATGTATCTGGGCAAAGACTGGTCCTTTTTATAAGGCTCAGCTTGGTTCCTCCCAGAAGCTGGGAACTCTGGGGTCATGTTTTCTAGCTGCTTCATGGACCATTGCCCCACTCAGGTGGGCAGGACACACCTAGGAGTGTGTGTTTAGCATTTCCCAATATAATTCCAGGCAACTCTCAAGGGACAACACCTAGAGTCTTCTTCTTTCCCTCACTGGACCTGGGGCTGGGGTGGGGAAGACAGTGGGATGTGTCACAACAGGACAGAAAATTTGGTAGAGAAAACTAGGTTTCTGAACATAAAGATGATGGGACTCTGAAAGGCAGCATGGTCCTTGCTCACTCATGACCCAGGCCATCCACAAGTTTGTTTTGATAGCTAACAAAAACTCTCCAGTGGTTAATAAGTGCTTAACTGTGCCAGGCATCACCATACCTGCCGTATTGACATTCCTCCTGAACCTTCATAACCTTATGAGATGGTGCTGTTACCCACATGTTGAGGACGGGGGACTGAGGGATTAAGAGGTAAGCAAAGTTCCCATGTGTTCGAGGCTAACGGACAGAAAGGTCAAGATAGGACCCCAGAAATGCCTGACTCAAAACCTCACTCCTAACCCCACTGCTAAACATCTGGGGTCACTGCAGGGCCTGTGACCTCAAAGTCCAGGGGAGGGAAGCAGGGTCACCTCACTCCTATCTTCACGTTGGGTCCTCACTGGAGGGCCAGGAGGGAAAGAGGTGTCATAACCCACAGTGACAGACCAGGGGACACAGAGAGAGTAGTGGCTCAGCATGTCACCTGCAGGTGAGGGAAGACACGAGGTCAGAGCTCTGAGTCCTGACGTTAGCCCCACACTCTTGAACTTCACTTTGCAGCTCCAGGGGCTGCCTGGGCCCACCAAGGAAGCCACTGTTCAGATTCAGGGATGGTGACCGCCATGAAGTGAGCCAGCAGGAGATTGGGCAAAGTTGCCTCCCCACCCACAATGATGACTTGCTATAAATTCTTCAATGATGTTCCTGCTTCCCTGATGCAAAACAGTCTGCTTAGGAGTGAGTGGCCATGCCCTGGGGTCCGCTGTGTCCCAACCTGCTGTGGAAAATCTAGTTCATGTGCGGGAAACAGGAGCTTGGAGGTCAGGATGAGGTCTGGGCACCTCTGGGTAACTGCCCTGCTGACTCACTGAGTTCTTGTTCCTGCTCCCTGCTCCCTTTAGTTCCTCCCATGGGGCGAGGGAGCTGCTCAGACACGGGGCACCCTGGGCCCAGGCCCCCCGCTGAGCCCAGGTCAGCCCTCCCAATGCATTGGGCCTGCACCCTGCAGCCTGGCCTTTCTGTCCCCAGTTACGTCCATATTTGCACCAGCACCAGACCTCTCTGATTCACTCATTTAATTTATTCTCACCCTCAATAAAATCCTGCTGGAAAGGATACACAGGAAACCTGGATGGGGCGCCTTCCGGCAGGGGAGCAGAAACCTCATTCCCACTTAAGTCCTAGTGTAGCTTTTGAATTTTGAACAATGGCAAAGTTCTTAAAATTAGTTTTTAATTTTTATATTTAAGTTTTCCCTTGTTGAAGCTCAGCCTTAGTTTCAGAGCCTGAGCTTTATAATCCTCAGCTTCAGGAGTCTAGGTATCATCACTCTGTTGCAAGGTCTCTCTCTTATTTTGTTTATTTCTTATCTTCCTTTCACCTCCACTACCGTTCAACTCCCCAAAGAAAGAAATGTATTATTTCTGTTTATTTTTATGCATGCTCGCCAATGTAGAGTTATTTTGGCCCATGTCCTATCTATGATCTTTATTTGATACAGATCAATCATGCAGAAAAGTAAAACAAACAACGGTGTACAGGGGAATGAATTCTAACCCCTGTGACTGCCACCCAGGCCAATGAATAAAGCATTGCCACCACCCCCACCAGACACTGCCCCCTTTCTCTCTTCTCCATAACCAGCATCTGACTTTTATGAAAGTTCCTTTTTGTTTCATTTGTATTTGACCACCTAAGCACACATTCCTGAACACTGCACTTTTGCTGGCTTTCAAATTTTACTTGAGGGGGAACATATTCTATATATTCTTCTGTGCCTGCCTTCTTTTGCTGAGCATTACGTGCGTAACTATCTCCATCATGTGCTGTGCTTGTTCATGGTTGTATAGTATTCCTTTGTGTGGATGTGGCATCACTTGCTATAATGCTTCTTCAGATATCACATGTACTTCATTTTCTTGTCTTCCTTTTGGATAGTTTCCAGATCTGGTGACCAGGGATTTTAGCCATGTGTTCATCATAAAGCACAATGAGTGGTGCAGAGTGGTTCTCCTTAAATTTTGTACATTGAACAAATGGTCCAGGTCTCAGCTCAAAACAACCAAGGAGAGCTGGGGTCTAGAGTCCATTGGGATGAATGAAAGAGTGGCTCAGGAGAAATAGTAAATGCTTGAGAGATGGTTCCAACTGATGGACCTGGATGTGTAGCCCAAGTTGCCAGGGGACTTTTGGCTCAGGGATTGGAAGATTCTATAGCCTTTTTGGAGCTGGCAAGTGACAAGGGAGATGCTGGGGTGTGACCTGGCTTTTAGTCACAATAGTTGCAAACACTAATGTCCTGCCAACAAACAGGGCTGTTTTGAAGTTGGTCCCTGTGCCCTGGGCTCATCCACTTCTCATTCCTTAAACACTCAGAACTTACACAACCAGGGCCTGCCCTGGACCCTTTCCACACACCTCACCAGACAGGGCGGCTGATCCCCAGGAGAACATGAGGTCAGAAGTCAAAATTTCAGGTCACCTGAGCTGGAAACCACCCAAATGGAAGGCAGGAAAATGAAGCGCATGTGGTATCTGAAGCAGAATTATAGCAAGTGATGCCACGTCCATACAAAGGAATACTATACAACCATGAACAAGCACAGTACATGATGGAGATAGGTATGCACGTAATGCTCAGCAAAAGAAGGCAGGCACAGAAGAATATATAGAATATGTTCCCCCTCAAG